AAAAACACAGATCTCTATAAGCCTGAGACCTTCTTGAGGATGCCTGTCTGTATGTGACCTGTAGTTAGTCTCTGGCTATTCTCTTTTATTGTGTGACCAAAGGAACAATGAAGTTGAGCAAACATTGATATAGGATTCCACACTGGATCTCTGTTATCTCTCAGATCTTTATTCCTCTCTCTCATCTTGAACGCCACTATGAATACTACCTTCGCACAGAACCTGAAAGGGGGATTCCTTTGGCCTCTTTTTTGTTACTCCCACTGTGTGCCCTTGACATGGGAGAACTGGGCCTCGTGTCCCCATGAAACTGCCCCTTCTCAGTAAGGATGAACAGGACCCCAACTGATGGGGAGCTGTCCCCTTGGTAGGGTAGTAGGGGTGAGGGAAGGGAGGCTGTGAATGACTGGACTCACAACCCTTCCTAGACTCCCTTGGGCTGATGTGTTGTTGAGGATTGTTTCTTTTAAGTCATGTGCTCACCTTTGCTCTAACTCGGTACAGCCACAAAGCTCTGAAGCCTCATGATTTCATCCCTGCCAACTGGTCTTATTTAAGGCCCCCTATCCCAAGCCTGCAGGTGACACCCAGCAAATGCTGGGAGAGACCTGACTTATGGAAGAACCCGCTTCACTCTAGGTCATGACAGATCCTTACCATGTGCTTGATATCCTTGGATAAAGCTTCTCTCATTAATTTCTGGTCTTCTCTAAATATCGTTAGGCTGTCACCAACTGATGAACATATCAAGATGCTAAATGTTGGGGAGGGCGTCATCTTAGGAGGAAACAGCCATCTCCATCCTGAGGTGCTGTTGGGGCTGCCACCGCATAGTTGCTGGTGATTTCGTACAATGGGTAGTCAAGACCTGCAGCCTTTTGGTCTGAGGATCTCCTGCCAAGGAATCCCAGAGCTGCTATGGGGAATTACCACTGCTACCAGGATTGGTTGGATTTTTAAATCCGGTGCCCCATGGGTCTGATTCTCAACTTCAAAGACTGTATTCGTGGCTTATTTAAGTGGCCTGTGTGACTCCGAATCTCCGGAAAGAGTCAAGTATGATACTGAAAGCTCTGAAATAAGGAGGATAATCCTTGCACTCGTGGCAGCCTGCACTGCCGATAGCAGAGTGATTTTAGTGTTGTCCCAGTGCTGTAGGAAGGACTAAAAGGCATGATTTGAAATACTTTTTGCACATCTACCTACTTACAGAATATATCCCACTGAAAGGCTTATCATAGGACATGTCCTTTACTCAGTGCCACCAAAATTGAAGCTCACTGAGGTTAAGTAACTTGCCTCAGCTAAAAATCTTCTCTGCTGGAGCCTTTCGGAAAACTACATAAGCAAAGGAAATGAATGGAAGAGTCTCTTACGAAAAAATAATTTGGAAGCTATTGAAAGTGGTCAGAGCTGGTGACACAGAAATTCCTACTCAGAGTGAGAATTACAGGGAAGAGCTTGCCTGACAAACTCAATAGTGAAAAGAGGTCCTATTAAAGAGATTCCACATTCAAGATGTTCCAAGAAACATACGTTGCCCAAGGCCATCAGCTAGATCAAAGAATACTGGCTTCCCTGTGTTCAGACCCATAGCCCTCTTGGAGTACAATGAGGACATAATGGGGGCAAGATTGGTCACCTGGAGTACCAAGAGGAAATGTGGGCAACATGTGTCACTTGCATTCAAGGTCATGGGCTCTGAGGTGCCTAACCTCATCAGGATTCTTCTTCATGCAGGTTACATTCTATATAAGCCTCACTCACTTTCTGAGGGCTGGCAAGTGGGGAGATGAATTGGCTTTCCCCAGCTCCCGGGCATTCCCCGTAGTTACTGACTTGTAGGCTCTAGAATATTTTCCAAGAAGACCTCTGCTGATATTTTACCCTGATCAGTTAACTCTTTGTCATGTCACATGATGGCTGCATAATAATGTAGGTAAAGCAGAGTGCATTTCTCTGTTTTTTACAATGTAACTGCAACACCTGTTTCCCAGCTCAGATCCAGTCCATACATTAACCCTTGTGAATACCTCATTCTAAATCCTGGAGCATGCCCTTCCAGGGGTGGGTGCTCAGAGGAGCAGAGTTTACATGTGCAGGATTTTGTGAATTGAATGAAATCGGTCATGGTAACAGTATTTACACTACGGAAACCAGCAGATGCTACTCTCCCTCCCCCAGAGACAGTTGTTCCAGCTGTCCCAGCCCAGCTCTGGTAGTGGCTGCTCCCGGCTCCTGCTTCCTGCTCCCAGAAGTCTGTGCAGGACCCAGAGCTTGGGAAGGGATGGAACACAAGCTTGCTGCTTATCTGCCTGCCTCTGAGGCTGCTACTTCTCTTATGTTCTGACATGGAGAAGGGTGGTGGAAATTTAAGTTTCAGCCAAATTAATGTCCCTGGACACTGAACAAGAGGGAGCCCTTCAAGGTGGCCTTGGAGTTTGAAGCCTCTTGTTTATTGTTATCTGAGTCCAGAGGCCTCAGAGAGGGAGGAGGGAATGAAGGTTCTCAGGGATACGATACAGACGTGCCTGTCCACCTTCTCCTGTGAGCTTGTTCTGTGCCGGCAGCAACGGAACTAGGGATTGATTTTAAAGTAAAACTATCCTTTGTCTTGATTTAAGGTGTCCAAGTCCTCCCATGGTTAGGAACCAAGCACTATGCCACGCATTGAAGATACTGAAGTGGGAGACTTTTCTTCATGATGGAAACACACTGTATCTGCACTGTCCGATACACGTGGCCAGTGTGACTGAGGAACTGAATCTCCAGTTGTAATTAATCTGAGTTTAACTTCCAATAGCCACATGTGGCGAACGGCCACTGCATTGGACAGAGCAGCTCAGGGACAGCATCGGATGGCAGCCTGTATGCTGCACATGTAGGGGTGCATTCTTCACACTGGACTCCCACGAGACCACTAAGTGGTCTCTAGATCCTTGCCCTCGAAGTGCTGACCAGCAAGACCAACTCTCACACCACTGGCAGACATCCACACATTCAGATGCACCTGCCACTAGTCTGAATGCATTAGAGGGTCACCCTGTGTAATCCTCATCTCCTATCTGCAGGATGGGCAGTGATTTCAACTTCCAGGTGATGAAACGAGGGACAGAGAGGTACAGCCCTTGCCCAAGTCCTCTGAGCAAGAATTCCCTCCCAGGCATGTCTTAGTAAACTCCAAATCACTTGGCTAGACACATAGAGTCTCAGAGAACCGTAGGATCCTATTTAAAGGGATTTGCCATACTTGTTCTGATAGTGTAAGAAGGGGCCTATATATAACACAATTTTTCCTTTCTCGGGTGTTGGTGGGTGTTCAGCCTTCTCAGGTTTTTACTTGGGCACTTACCCTGTGAGTACGCACATTAGCATACACATTTCGTTTTACACCATTTGGTAAATTTTTTCTTCCCCAACTAGTAGTGTCAGTATCTTTCTATTTTGCTATCTGGTTTAAGGTACTACCAGCTATATCAAAGTCAGTGATTGGGTCACTGTTTGGGCTTTTGATTTTTCTGTGGGGATGTAGTCTACTGATCAACAATTCTCTGGTATCTCCACCTCACCCCCGTCCTCACCCCAATGTACTGCTTTTGGATTTGCACTGGTTGAAATGGAATGAAAATGGAGATGTAAACCCAAGGCTGACCCAGCCCATCTGAAAATGTTCTATGGTGTTACATTATCTACTGATATACATTTGGCTAGCGATTCTTTCCGCTTAATAGCAAGTGCAAACACCACTCTGTAAATCAGAGGCGGGGGCTGGTATTGAGAACGAGCTCCTTTTGAAGACAGGCCACCTGCACTAAGCTGGAGCGGCCAGGGCAGAGGGGCAGGCTTTGCATCAGCCACTGTGCTGCAGGAACATGGCTCTTGCTACACCCCCTCCCTTGGAATGTGGAGGTTGTTTCTTAGTCACTGTTTGCAATAAGCAAACACTATCTAATCAACCCCAGCAACCCTCCTGAGAATTTTTGCATGCAGGTGGTCTGCTGCCCTGATTGCTTGGCTTTCAGCTTACTTAACCCGGGTGAAGAGTGCAGATCACACAAGGCCAACAGGGCACTGCCTCAAATGTAATCTCCAGAACACAGGCTGCCAGAAATCCAGGCAGTTTCAAGGAGTGGGGAAAAGAGAAGTCGCAGCAGCCCAGACAAAGACCGGTAAACCGTGGGCACTAGAGCAGGGCTGGCTGATCTGCATCAACGGAGTACACTGCCTGGCCTGCAGGAAGCTTCCTAGCGTGAAAACTCAAGAACTGTGGGCTTCTGGTCATTTGTTTTTAGCATTGCTGCCATCCAATTTCAGCTTCAAAAGACGATAAAGTCCAGCAAGCTCTGATCACTGCTAGAGAGCACTGGCTGTGAACTTGGTATCCTGCTCTCTGTAGCCCAGCTGGGCACACTGGGGAAAGACAGGTGTCTCCTAATCATATACAGCTAGGGCTTGGCTAACAGTGGGCATTGCTTCTTTGAGCAAAGAACGAAGAACATACCGTCTATATATAAAGCCTTGTACAGTCCAAAATACCAGTATTTTCAGTTATTTGAAGTTATTACTATAAGCAGGTCAGCATTTACTTTTCCAAATGCCATCTGAAATTTCTTTTCTCTAATAAGATTCCTAAGGGGCACGTAACTTCTTATTTAGTTAGATATTTTGGACTGGCGTACGTATTATACATTACTAATACCATAAACCTTTAGTTCTAGTAGATGAAAAGACCCATCAATTCATGCAAAACATAGGTACTGTTTGAATTCAAGGTCAGACAAAGGAATGCTGACAGTCATCTCGAAGGTGGCTACACCGTGAAGTCTAGCATTGCAAAAGACTCTGTGACCCCTTTGGAGCTTGATAGTTCCTTAGACTACAGCCTGTTGACAGAAATGCTGGCTTTAGTCTTATGGATTGGGGCTGGGGGAGCCTATTGATGGACCCTCAGGTGATCAGCCTGCAGCTTCTCCTAAGATATGGTTCGTGAACATACATACCCCTCCCGGTGGGCCTCTCCTTTTTCCAGCTCCTGAATGACCCCCAAGAGCACTTTGATGGTTTCTTGGCTTGAACTGATCAAGTTCTCCATCACCTGAAGCTGTGCTTTGAGGTCGACCACTTCCGTGTGAGGCGTGTGAGGCACAATTTGCTGGCATTCTTCACCCGCAGCCACTGTGGCGGGACTGGGCTGGTTTCCCAGGCCCGGCGGGGCTGGAGTCTGCAGAGGCTGCTCACTACATTCGGGGAACAGGCACTGCATCGGGGGCGAGCAGGCCAGGGAGGCGCCCGGGGGGGCCTGGAGTCCATTGAGATGCACAGCTCTCCTCCGTTGCTGCTCGTCCACTGGGCAGAGGGACCACTGGCTGGCGGCGGCAGAGGTGGACAAGCCAGGCTCGGGGGCCCTGGCACCTGGGGCAGGTGCATACACGGTGGCAAGCTCCGTTTTAAACACCCTCCCCAGGGCAGGCGGAGCGGGGTCCTCGGAGTCCGGTGTTCCCTGGTCCTGCTTGGCCCTCCCCGGCAGCTGGTCATCAGGCTCTTCGGAGGGAGGCCGAGTGGAATTTTGGAGGGCAGCTTCTCCATAGCCCAGCAGGTCGGGGCTTTGACACGGCCCTGCACAGTTGACCCCGGAGGGCTGGTCCACCACGTCCATGTGTTCGTTGGAGTGGAAAACCAAGGCTGTGGTCTTGTGTACCCGCCCTGCACCACAAGGCCGAGCCTCCCCCATGGGTCCACTCTGGCCCTTTTCTTTAGCGTCTGCTAGAAACCCATTGTTTTGGCTTTTAAAGGGATCTGCAGCTGGCAGGCTTTTGAGGCTCCCCTTTTTGCGGTCCAAGGGGAACGTCTGGTAACACTTTTTAAGGTCCGGCGAGGTCTGCACGCCTGTGCTCTTCGTGACGTTGGGGATAGACCTGCGCGCGGGCACCGTCATGTATTTGCGGTAGGCCGCCCTGTAGGACACGGCCTTGACCTCACGTTTCTCCCCTGGCTGTCCCGAGGAGAGCTGTGTGTCCCTCTGCTCATTCTGTGCCTCGCAGATGTCCTTAAACCGCACCTGCAGGGCTTTGTTCCGTTTTTTAATCTGCCGATTGGGATCCAGGGCGTATTTCATCTCCAGGGCCAGGCAGGCGGCGGGTTCCACTTCGCTCTCCGACGCTGCGAGTATGCATTTGCCGGTGTCCTTACTGACCATGGTTCCTGCATGCAGAAACAGCAAGAGGTGTCAGCGCAACAGAAACACACAGACAGACAACACACACACACACACACACACACACGGGCGGCACAAACTTTCAGCCAACGTGATGGCTGCCTGCTTCCTAATTATTTTTAAACAGGTGAGGTCGGCCTTTATGTTAAGGAAAATCACACAGGCGGAGAGTGGGTGCCAGGCACAGCTTGAAATGCTGCTCAGATATGAAAGCCTGCTTGCTTTTCCAGGTGGGATACACTCGTTTTTTTCTTTTGATAGTAATGCATGTTTCCCCATTAGGCAATCCTGTTTTTACTACATTTATCAAGAAACCCAACGATGCTGCCTCTTTTGCTTTACAAATTATCTTTTCACACGCGTGTATTCACTTCATAGGCAGATGGCTTACCAAATGTAACTGATTTGGTTGGGGTTTTTACTATTTCTTGAGGATGACATGGTTCATCTATTACTGATCTAGGAGAACTGCTGTTTTAAAGGCCAAGTGAAGATTCCAGGTCATGAACAGGTAAGTGTGGAGAGCGCCATGGTGAGGAACTGAAATCAATATATTTACATTAGCCATTATGGATTTTGTGAGAGAGGTGACCACTCCACTCGTTGGGAAGGCCATAAACAAGTTGTTGAGGGGTGTCTTGTTTCTAATGGGTTAACACCAGCCATGAAAAGAATTTGGGCTTCCCTGCATCTACAAAGGCAATGTTAGCAGCTCTTTTCTTTGATTCCACAGAGAGCGGTCCTGGAAAACATTTTTTTTTTTTTTTTAAGAAATTAGTCATTCTAGAATCAAGTTTTGTGTTTTGATCACAACCTCCGAAGATGAAAACAATGGTGGTTGTTTCAATACTTAAATCGTGAAAGAAAATAAAATCATGAGGCTTTCTGTTAATCATGCAAATTCATCCTGGGCTGAATTATTAAATGCAGCGAAAAAGATGCAGGTGGCCAATGATTCCTCTCGGGGAATACCAGTGGGGTAGGATGGTTTCACTTTATTAGGCAGAGTCACAGCTGCCTATTGCACATGGAAGAACTTGCTTGATGGCTGCACTCAAAGCAAGAAATCATAGCTAAGCATGTTGTTTATGACCGAGCCTTTGCCATTTCCCCCTTGCGTTTGAGAAGAAGACAGGATGGGCTGAGCTAATAGGTGTGTGGAGGCCCAGGGGCTGAAGCCAAGTGCCCAGAGAGTCAAGGTCACAGACGGGAGCTGGCAAGAGTGGCCTAAGAAAGGCTCGGGCCACACTGCCCAGCTCGGCTGTCATGGGGAAACACTGAACCGGGCCCAGAGACCTGCAGCAGCCCTTCCTGAGAAACTCCACAAGAACTGTGACACTCAGAGTGTGGCTGCTGCTTACGGTGTTGGAAGGTCCGGGGGTTAGATGCCCTGCAAGCCCATGTACAGAATACCTTGCTTACAAACGTCCCTGAAGGTCATACTTCCCATCTCAAGAAGGAAAGGAGCTCAGAGAGATTGTGTCGCTTCTCAGCATCACACAGCAAGTAAGAAGCACAGGCCTGTACAAGACCCTGACCCACCAGACCTCTGCATCCATTTTATTTCTAAGAGACCTGGAGTCCAACAGACAGAGATGTGACATCTCCCCACATCCCCAGTCCCTACTGATTCAGTACTGTAGGTCGATGGACATGGTGGTTTGGTAAAGGTCACAGCTCCCATCTGAGTGAGTTACACAGCTCTCTGCAGTCTGGAGACTCTGTCCAACTGACCTCTGCAACTCAGCCAGCGCGGTCCTGCAGGCCTCTACCAGTGTTTACTGAATGAAAGGCTGAGAGAAAAATCAAACTCTTCATACATTATGCCATGAACAGCTAACTGGTAATCATGTTTGAGTACAGCAAAAAATAATCTCTGCAGCGTTGGATTTAGATTAGACCAGGGTTTCTCGACCACAGCACTACTGATATTTTAGGATGGATCATTCTCAGTGTGACTAGAAAAATCTCCAGATATTGCCAGATGCGTCTGGGGGTGGGCAGAGCCACCCCTGGCCAAGAACCACTGCATGAACCCTTAAACCTCTGGACACCTGAACTTCCTGTTTTTTGTTTGTTTGTTTGTTTTTGTTTTTTTGAGTTGGAGTCTCACTCTGTCATCCAGACTGGAGTGCAGTGGCCGCTCCTGGCCTGGACAGGGCATGCCTGCTTAGGAGAGATCTTAGATATCTCCTAGAGGCACTTATCCAGGCAGGTTAAACAGATGCACACAAGAGCACTTGGTGTGGGGGACAGTCCAGGTGGTGGCGTGGGTAGTATAAGAAAATTAAATTTTAACCCTCACTCTTATCCTCCTGTTCATTCTTTAACTACCTTTGTTGTCCAGGTCTGTCAGGATGTATTGTGCTATCATTCTGCAGAAGACCTTCCTACTAGGGAAAATTTGAAAGAGAGAGCATTTTTACCAAAAGCAATTTACTAGTAATTTTTCAGCCTTTTCCCTGCCACTACTGAAAAATGCGTGTCTGAATAAGTTTGTCCTACCATGCTATTCATCATCACGATTTGCCAGGAACTGCACTGAAATAATTTTCTGACATCAGTCTGCTGGTGTAAGAAATAGTCTGAGTCTTGGACCCAACCATCAAACTAATAAAACAAATCAGAGAAATTAATTGTCGGTGGCAAAATAATCATAAAAAATACTGAGCTCTTTTCTGTTTTACAGAGGGTTGCTAAGTATATCAAATTGTTTCCTTATTAGCAAAAATGATGGTAATATTGAGGGTTTTTAATCAGTTTAGCTTGTCGATGCTGACTTTAAAAACAGTAGTAATAGGTAGTTACTGAGTTGTCCTGATAGGAAAAACACTAAGAAATTATTGCATGTATTTTGGCCTCACATGGGGTTATGAGTTCCCTCTGATGGCTCGATGACATTTTGTAAAGCTTTAAAGTGGAATTTTCCTGGACATTATGAGTTACTAAGGTGGACACATCTTTCCAGTGTGTTCATTTACTAGTCATTGTGGAGAGGGGTCAGGCTTATAGTGATTACCATGAAAAATGATGTAATTGAAAGTAAATTGGGCTGGGCTCGGTGGCTCAACCTGTAATCCTAGCACTTTGGGAGGCCAAGGTGAGTGGATTGCCTGAGCCCGCGGGTTCGAGACCCGCCTGGGCAACCTAGCGAGACCTCATCTCTACAACAAATCAAAAATTAGCCGGGCGTGGTAGTGCACGCCTGTAGTTCCAGCTACTTGGAAAGCTGAGGTGGAAGGATCGCTGGAGCCCAGCAGGTCAAAACTGCAGTGGCCGGGAGCAGCCACTGCACTCCAGTTGGGAAACAGAGTGAGACTCCAACTCTAAAAAAAAAAAAAAAAAAAAAAACAATGTAAATGGGGCATGCTACAGAAGACTGTCCATGAGACAGGTGGAACCTTCTCAAGCACTGCTTCATTCATTCCCTCATGCATTTATTCAGCAAATGAATGTACATCTCTTACAGTGTGACATTAACATTCGGTATATAGGTCTGTGTTTCTGTGACCTAACCAAATGTCAGCATTTGTGCACTTCACTTGGACTGTGTCATTTGGCTCTCACTCGATAGCCTTACAGTGGAGGCATTTTTGACATCCTCATACCACAGATCTGAGAAACTGAGGCATGCTCTGTTTTCTTGTAACTTGCTCTGAGTCACAAGCTAGGGGGTTGTACCCGTTTGACATGGCTAAATCTGTTTGAAGCCCAGGCACTACACCACCAGCCCTGGTCAGGGAAATCTCTCATTTGAAATGACCCAGGGGAAACTTCAGAATGCATCAAATGACTGAAACTCAATCTGAGCTATTTATTTCCTTGGCTTGTTCCAGTAATATATCTGGGTGTAGGTGTAGGTCTCAGGAACACAACTGGCTCTGGTGCACAGACTGAGTGAGGGTTGCCTTGAATTTTGGACTGAGCCTGGTACCGCAATGGCGTTTTTTTCCATTTTCTTTTTTGAGTTGAAGTCTCACTCCATCGCCCAGGCTGGAGTGCAATGGCATGCTCACGGCCACCCCAGCGTCAACCTGCTGGGACCCAGCGATCCTTCCATCTCAACCTTCCAAGCAGCCGAAACTACAGGCGCTCACTACCATATCTGGCTACTTTTTGATTTACTGTAGAGACAAAGTCTCGCCAAGTTGCCCAGGCTGGTCTCAAACCCGTGGACTCAGGCAGTCCACTCGCCTCGGCCTCCCAAAGGGCTGGGGTGACAGGCTGAGACACTGAGTCTGGCCAGTGGCGTTCCTAATGATGGTTTGCTGTGGCTGGGTCACCCCAGAGAACTATGGTCTCTGGTTCTTGGCGTTAATCTCTTAGCTCTACAGCAGCGGGAGTTCATAAAGTTTAGTTTTCAGAAGAAGATTGTGCTCTAGAATTCATTGGCCTGTGCTGTCTTGAGGTGAAAATGGCTAGTCATGGTTGGGCCTGTCTGGCTCAGGGAGAGTTACATGTTGAGGAGCTGTCTGGAATATAAATGTCTTAATTACTCTCAAATTAAATTTCATAATCAAATGTGAGTTGTAAATATATAAACCCTGTATTTTTAGATTAGTGATATAGAGTCATCTCTGCATGCTGCTTTAAATTAACAGCTTATATAAAAGTGTTAATTCCAACTTAAAGGAGTGAAAAATGGAAGCAACTAACTGCCTCACAATAGGCAAACAGTTAAGTAAATTATGGTGCACATTCACTCCATGTGGCCATTAAAATGATAATTATAGAGATTATTTAGTATCATAGAAAAACACTTACGAAATAATGTTAAGTGAAACAAATAGTCTACAAGTTATACTGGAGAAAATGAACAAAAATGGCCATTGTTATGGTATTAAGATAGCCTATTTTGAGAGATTTGGTTTTCCTTTTGTTCTCCAATTTGGGGGGAGGTGTAATATCGTCCCTTTGTTTTTGCCAATTACAAAAAACACAGAACAAAACCACTCTATGCTGTGAACACGACTCGGGGAAGTATGAACACTTGTGTCAGAATAAGAAAAC